TGCAAACATTGCTTCCCCAACGTTAGGAGGGCAGCATCGGACTCGGAGTCCGGCTCCTCCTCTTCCAGTTCATCGAGCTCTAGCTCGGGTTCGAGCAATAGCTCCTAGGTACCACAAGCAACCGCGCAACAGCAGGTCGGACGAATTTTGCGTTTTCAGTGGTCAGGGTCATGCGGGTATCATATGCCCACTTGAGTTTGGCTGGTGCATCTGGCACTGGCCATAGCAAGCGGCGCGACCTTACGACCACTTGATCAAAAGACCGTCTGCTGCTGTGTAGCTAATGGTGGTTGCTTGGGGAGCGGCTAGCGATTGTCGTCAGAAACACAGCTTGCGTCATGTTGCAGTGACAATCGCAAGCGTGGATGGTGGGATTGAGGTATCCCTTGGCCATTTTGGTCTCAAGGGTGATACCCGACTTTTCCCCACCCACCCACTCCCGGGTATCATATGCCCACTTGAGTTTGGCTGGTGCATCTGGCACTGGCCATAGCAAGCGGCGCGACCTTACGACCACTTGATCAAAAACCGTCTGCTGCTGTATAGCTAATGGTGGTTGCTTGGGGAGCGGCTAGCGATTGTCCCGCGATGCTGCGCATACAGTTCTCGTGGGTCAACCTCTCCTTCGGCAGGTTGAATACGCTAGACACGTGATGCGAGCTAGTTGTAAATGCTGCTAGCAGCGCAGCATGCCAATGAACATTCAGAGCGTGGCAAGATATTGACGGTGACAGTGTGTGATGCCCTATTCCACGCATTTGCCTATCGCGAGTCGGCAGGAGTTCTTGGACCTGGAGAAGAAGCGGACTGATGCTGGCAAGGGCGACAGCTACAGCCAGAGCCTCAAAACCGTGAGGAGCTTCGCTGTCACTGTCCAAGCCGTCGGCTGTCAAATCTAGCAGCGGATGCTCTAAGAAGCCGCATGACAAACCTTTTCAACCAGCATCCGAACATTGTGCAAAGCGGAGTCGGGACAGTCCAGCTCCTTCGGCCCCGGTCCGGCGGCTGTTTCCTGGAACATGCTGGAACCACAAAAAGGACAAAAAACTAGGACTGGTATGCTGGTTCCCTGCCGTGTACTTCGGCGACGAGAAAGCCTCGTTGTGGCCGCGGCAGCACGGTGCAATGAAGTGCCTCAGGTAGCCGTAGTCAGAGCTGCGCGAGCCGGAGTCCGTGCCTCAATCGAGTGTAGGGATGAATCTCCTGTATGCCTTCAGCAACATGTTGCGATGCCAGTGGCTGCTTTTCGTAGGGCACAAGGGGCAGGGCTGCTTGCGGCATCGTGCCCTCACCACGACAGCCTTAGAGGTGTAGTGCAGTTGACACAGATGTCTGGAAGGGGAGATCGGGTTCAAGGCAAGAGGTGCCCTGTGTCCAAAAAGTCGTGGTATGTTGATTATGAAGGTCGCCGTCAGGACCGCATCAAGTGTAATTAGTGAAGCAAGCGACCTTCTTGCAGGTTACGTGCGGTTGACATTCAGTGGGACAGACATTCGTTGTGTTGCAGGCGGCAGTTGTCGCAGCAGGACCCGCCGTCGAGGTGGGAGCACATCGGCGCATGCGTTAGGCCACCAGCTTGTGTGTCAACGCTTCGTCACTGGATTCTTGAGGACGGAGTCGTCGTCGGCGACATCGACGTCGGCACCGAGACCGGAGGCACCAATGGACCAAGAAGATCGCAGCACAAGCCTTTCTTGTAATGATGGCCTGGCGCTATAGCCTGTAAATCGGCATTTTGCTGCCAGGAGGCGGCACAGAAGGAGGCGCCGGGGGAAGAAGCGGCGAAGGTCTCGCTCGAGGTCAAGAAAGCGCCGAAAGGCAAAACCTGATTCAAACTCAGGTCAAGCACCCAGAAACTGGAGATCTTGCAATGAATCTAGCTCGATGCCACCTCCAAACCGAAACTGATTGAAACGGTTTGCAGCTGTGCAGATGCTGTGCCTCGTCACACGTTGCCGTGGTTCACATTTCCCTTGCACATGCGCACGTGCACAAAGCTCAAGATGCTTTGCGAAATGCTTGCCAAGGTGATGCCAGCACGTATTCTCCCAGCCAGCCCGAGGAGCCCTACAGCGACTTTGGTAGGTTCGCAGAAGCCTCCAATACGCGTCTTCAGGACAAAGACTCCGAAAGCGACGAGGCTCTGCTTGGTGGAGCTGTCGAAGAGATACGGGCATCCTGCTCCTACTTTAATCCGGATGCACTTGCAGTTCATGATCGTCGGCAAAGTGCCACAATCAATATGAATGCGGCCGCACATGGAACGTATCGAACATGGGAACCCGGTAAGTGCGGTGTACTGGTGGCAGGAAAGCGAGCGGAGTGAGGACTTACAAATTGCAACTGCTTCCTACGACCTTTGCAGTTCGGTCCTGGCGCGAATGTGAGAGGCTGTGCTGGTTACAGGAACCCGAGGTTTTGTGGGAGAGGGGTCGTGCAGTGCCTTTCTGGGAGGACAAGCAACAAGCTGCCAAAGAAGCAGCCGCCAAAGCCACTGTCGGGGGCCCCCAGTCAAGAAGAGCTCCTGAGCGAAAGTGTGACATCAGCCGAGGAAAAGGCGCTCGCGCAAGCTCGGAAGGCTGCCCGAGTGCTTGAATATCGGCGGCCACTTGTGCCACACTTGCGTGATCGGTGAAGTTGTGCAATGTCTCAAACTTCCTTGCGTCCAGGCCGTCCAAGATGCGATAAAGGAAGAAGAAGCAAGGCAACGCGTGCAGGCAAGGTGCGAGTCAGAATGCCGTTCACAGTCCTTGGCAGCATCACAACTCCACACAGGTCGAAGAAGGCGTTCTTGCAGTGCAAGCCGAGGCAGGAAGGCTACGCCCCTAAAAGCGGGCGCTTCGCCTTGGTTTCTGAGGTGGAGCAGGAGATTGCGGCCAGACTGTCGGATGCAAAGGCTGCCTCCTTTTCTAGAGCTCGAAGGAGCGCAGTCGCCACGCTACGATGTGGCCAGGAGAAGCTGATGGCAGAAAAGGCTTCGCGACTTCAGGAGGCTGAGGAGAGGCTTGACCAGGCAATGGTCTACCCGCAAGCTTGGACACATCTTTGTAAAATTGCATGGGATTGGTTGTGAGTTCGGCCTAAGACCTAAGACGGTAGATTGTTGCCATACAGTCTCCCAGCCTTTCTGTGTTAGCAGGTGATAGATTTGCTGCATGTCATACGCCGAATTCCAGCATGCGCAGTTTGCGCAGCATAGCAGGTTTTCGCCTGTCGCCTGCAAGACGTGCTTGGCTCAGCAAGTTGACTGGCAAGCTGTCCATAATGAGTACAAGCGGATCTCCGTGTCCTCAGAGGCCACCGCCAATATTCGCAAAGCCATCCAGGCAAATGTTGACGAGGTCGCCTCGTTTGGCTGCTAGCAACGGATCCGAAAGGAAATCTTGGGCTGTCAGGGTCGTAAGGAGCTCGAGGCCAAGGCCCAGAAGGCCTGGCTCCCGCGGGAGGCCTCGCTTGGGCCCCGGCTTTCCGTCTCCTGGGCTCAGGCTCTTCAGGATGCTCGAGCGAAGCAGCTGCATGGACAGGCGCCCTCCTTGGCGACCGGCCGTTCTTCCGCAGAGTCTGTGACCGTATATGACCGCAAGCCATGCATAGCCATACAACCATTACAACCCCTCCCCTCTCGCAATCTCTCGCAGCTTGGCAGCTGGCGAGGTTAACCGCTAGCCGCCAGCGCGAGAGCCGCATACGGATGCCGTGCGCGCTCGCGAAAGGCGCACAAATGCGCACACTCCGGCAAAGAGAACGTGAATCAAGTCGAAGAACCTTCTCGACACCTTGGAAGATTTTGGTCGGCCAGTCGTTAATCGGGCTGAGCTCCAACATAACGCCTGCCATGCGCTGCCCAAGGAAATGCCAGCTATCCAGACCTCTAGTGTGTTCGTGTCAAGGCTTCGGACTTTCTAGCGAATTTCGAGAGAAACTTGTCACGCTCCTCCCTTCATGGCAGTAATCTGGCGGGACATTTTCCGACTCAGCCGGCCGTGCAGGCGTCACAGGTGTGCAAGCTTGGGTTGGACAGGTTCTGCACGCAATGCAAGCGTGAGGCTTGAGAAGAAGCCGGATGTCGACCCGGCATCATCGGCTTCAACGTTGAATATCTCGACTTGACATGATTTTGCAAGATGTCGAGCTCTACCCCACCTGACGAATACGGGGACCAAAGGCGGCTAAACATGCCGCAGCGCCGCAATCGTATGTCCCTCCTCAATACCGATTGCTTAAGCCTGCAGGCCACTCTCGCAACGTGACCTCAGAATGTCTCGCCTAAAGGGTATACCGTATACCGGTCGAAGTCGTCGAAATAGTGTAATATCAATCCTGAGGTTCATCCGTCGCAAAAACCGAAATGGTAGTAAACCGTGCAACTGCGATTTGGCGGAAGGCGGAAAGTTCGGGGTTTAAGTTAGCTATGATGTGCTCAATTATCTGTGGCACGAAGCTGCTTAGGGCTGCAGGGTGGAGCTGTCGGGGTGTTGGGGTTTGCAGGTCTGTGGGACTTTCAAGAAGTGTCGAGGGTGTTGCTTGACCAAGGAATGTTCGGACTTCGAACCGAAAAATGCTTGTAAGGTTTGCTGGTGAGGTTTCCAGGCTGTGTGACAGACTTTAAAACTGGCTGATTCCGCAGAGCACGGATGCTAGATCCTCCTTATTCTTTCAGGCCGTCCTTGCCAGGCAGTCAATGGGAGTCTTGGCTTCTCGCGAGTACTACGCAGGCAGTTTCTCGTTTCCACAATGACTATCTTCTGAAGCACCTCCAAACCGCCAACCACTCGTGACTTGAACGGTTTTATGAGGATATGTACTGCCCGCTACTTTTGCTTCTCTGCTTGTGTTCTTGCCGCGAGAACGAGGAGGCTGTCAATGATTGCCACACGAACAAGACTCAAGAAAAGTCAACAACGACTCTTGCTAAGATTAACAAACCCACACAAGCTGTTGCCGCAGCTCAGGTACAAGGACTCATGGCTCAATGTCTCATCCCACGACGTAGTGTGCAGGATCATTGCCTTTGGGAAGAAAGCAATGCCAGATGATGGCAGTCAACATCAATTAAAATGCCCGCAGAAGACTCGACACAACGCAGGTAGCAGACGCAGTGGCACAAATTTCGATGAAGACCATCACAGCGTTTAATCCATGCCATAGGCTCTGGCCCCGCACAAGTCAAAGGCTGTCCCGCCATCGAACAGCCGCAGATCAACTGAGCCTGTGTGCTCACAACCCTGTATACGACGGCAGACACGGGACACGAAGTTGCAGCTTCCGACGGCTTCCCCAACACAAACGACAGGGGCTCTATCACGGAGCATTGTCAAAACAGCGTTGAGCATTGACAGTATGCTTGTTGCCGAGACGCTAGGACGTGTGAGCAAATAGGTCAGATGGTTGCAGCGCCGGCCTTCTCAAAGCTTTCGAGCCCTCTTGAGATGTCCCAGCGCCAGGCGGAGAAGCTTCAGCAGGCCGAGAAGCGGCTGAAAGATGCCAAGGCGCCAAGAATGAGACATGTCGAACGGCTAGCAAGTCTTGCGTAGCCATTTGTCCTCAGAGAGGGCGCTGAGAGCGAAAAAAACAGCTCTGTAGCATCCTTGCTATCTGTGCGTGCATGTTTCGGGTTCGACCTTGATAGAATCGCAATGTTGTGCAGGCGAGACTGAGTAATCTGAAAGGCGACACCTCCAAAGGCAAGGCTGCAAGTCAGGAAGAGGTTGTGTCCCAGGTGTTGCTGCAAGCTGTGCCAGGCAATGACAACGAGTCAGAAGAGGCCAGCGCCAACGAAGATGATGAGGAGGAGGAAGAAGAAGAGGAGGAGATCGGTCTTTCGACTGCATCAGAACTTCCGACATCAGGACTCAAACCCGTGATGAATCGACACTCCAAGCCTGGATGCGAACCTGCTTGAAGCTCACTGCCAGAGCAAGAGAAAACCAACATGTTCAACACATTACGTCGGTAAGAACGGCTTCTACAACACAACCTGCAACTAGCAGGGACACTCTACCTTCAATCTGGACCTGCCCCAGGTTCAGATGAGTCTGGGAGCGACTCAGGCTGACTGAGCCACCAAGCTTAAAATGCGGCTAAGAACATTTGCATTTGCAGTGTGTGCGATTTTGCGCATGAGAGCTCAAAGTTTGCATTCGGTCTCCAATTCGCTGCCCCTGTTTCCACATCTAAAGGCTTCGTGTTGAGATGGAAAGTTCGCCCAATCTTGAGCGACCGCATGATCCAGACAGAAGATCTGCAACCAATGGCAGTCTTTTGCTGCTAGCTGCATAGATCATCTTGGCCTGTAGATGCCGGTAGCTGATCGAAGCACTTCGGAGTCAGATAATTGCCTGAGAGCCAGCAGAACGCTTGTGTTTTACAGCCATGGCGCCGGCAAGCACCCGAGGCTTGTTCATATACAATTTGTACTAGTCCAGGGCGGTGGCGAATGAAGATAGCGTTGGGAGCCGTTTAGCCTCCTCCTAGTCTGCTCTGTGTCCTCCTGGTCAGCGAGTGCACGATGGAAAAAATGCCAAGCAGCCCACAGACAGAGACACAGCACACCCTTTCCACATCAGAAGGGATCCGTGATGATCCGAGCTTCTGATAAGCTCCTGCTTTTGACACATCTCCGGGCCCACCAGCTCATTAGCATGTCGCTGAGCACGCGCCCTCAGAGTAGTCTACCGCAAATGCACCCGACCCGTGACCACTCTGCTCGCTTCTGGCGGCTGCCTTAGGGTCTAGGATGCGCGTTGTAGTGCTTGCTGTGAATCTACGTGAAGAAGCCTGCAAAGCTGTGCAATCTGCCAACACACCACACCAAGCATCCAAATCCAAGCTTCCCGAGCAATTCTGTTTAAGCAAGGGCCTGCAAACCAAGACGAAGAGACGTCATGACAGGGCTAAAAAACGGCTTGGCAGGAAAGTCCAGGGCAGCCGGGGCCGCAGCTCTGCTGATTGGAGCCTCCGGCGCTTGCTTCGCGACGAGCGCGACAAGGACTTGGATATAAATCGCATCTCAGACAGGACCTTCACAGCCATTGCGGCTTACCATCATCTTCGACATGCCTATGCGCGTTTGAGTACGCACGAACTCCAATGTCGTCATGCTGTCACTGGGCTCCCAGTGGCGATATTCAAGGGGAATTCTTGCTTGCTACCTCTTCCCTCTTTTGGCTGCTTCGTCTAAAGGCGCCACCTTGAGGTTCAGGTGCTGAACTGGTTTTGGGCCTGTTCATACCAGTACGTTGAAGCTCCGCTGGCTAAGCATTCACGTGTGGCAAAGATCGAAAATGTGCATGGCCCTGCTGCAGGAGTTCAAGGTACGACATCGAGAGAGTACGCTCCGGTGATGCTGCTGTGGAGGACTAAGAGCCAAGATCCAGCCCAGCAACCAGTAAGACTTAAGGGCTACAGGGACAGCATGGGACAGCCTTACCACTAGATAAGAATCATAATCATTGCATTCGAACAGCGAGGTTGCTGCGAGCAATGCACGAGCATCAGGCGACCCTTCAAGGCAACAATGGAGCCCAGCGATTTAGACACGTGTGAGGTGCGGTTGCAAAAAATCGACAGCCTGAATCTTGGAGGTCACAGCTGTCTTTAGCATGGCCGACCGGTGGAGTTCTAGCAGGCCGGAGAAGTTTTCCAGAAGCAGCTTGTAGCGCAGCACGGAAGAGTTATCAAGATGACTTCTCGGTTTCATGGTCTCTGAAAGTCCGAGTCCTCACAATCACCGTCGCTTGATCCCTCGCAGCTCCTTGAGCCACCTTTTGATACCTTGTCCCTATATTGGCCTCCATCGTTGAAGCGCCGAAACTACAGACTAGAACAAAACTCCTCCAAAGGCTCCTTTCATAAGCACCCCTGGCATCCCCCAGCTGAGTGGTTCTTGCCGATTGGAGCAACGCTGGTCCGAGTTTTTCCGGTGGACTACGCATCGCTGTGTCAATCGCCCTTGCCTCCGCAAAACGGTCAGGAAATGAACATGGAGGGTGTTCTGCAAAAGATGCATAATCCAGGATGCATTCGCTTTAGGACCTCCACTCCATCCTGATTTCTTTTGCTTGCCTTTCAGTTTGCACAATCATTCACCTCAAGTCAGCTCAGCTGCGAATCCAGCAATGAATGGTGATTGTGCAACAGCCCGTGTGCCAGTGCTAGTAGGTGGTGCCTTTGCCTAAATGCGTGTGATGCAGCGCCGCTGGTCAGGCCACGCATTAGCACCAACTTGCCCAGGATAGCCCAGGGCAGATCGAGATAACATTGATGATGTTGCCTTGTATGCAAGTGAGCAATCCCGATTCACCTGCCCTCGTGTTTGGCACGTTGCATTTCTCTGGAATCGCTTGGTCAATGGAATTCGTCTTGCAAACAGTCGCATTGGGCCGCCCGATCTGCAAAATCACTTCTCGCAGAGTTGCGCACCTGTGGTCACGAAGCCTTCAGTTTCAGGCATGACTAACCATTGGTACAATTGTGCTTGGAGGGACGCATTGCATGTGGTATCGGTCCCAAAACCGTGCGTGAGGCATATCCTACGTGGTCCACCGAAGGCGGAAGCATAGGGTGCCTTGTCAAGCACGTCCATATCCTGGTGGCAGCCTTGGCCGTTCAGCGCAGTATCGAGAACTGATTGGCTGCATGATGCCATACTGCCATGCGTACGCTTGATCTTACTGCAGATGGACGATACGATGCTGACGCTGCAGCTGCCTATTTTGCCGGTCGTGATTCTGGCATGTTTGGACATTCCGCTGGGATAATGCAAACCAAGTAAACTTCGAGTTCGAAGCTGTTGACTTTGTCTGTCGTCATACATTTCGCAGTCAGTAGTCGAGCATGTCGCAGCAGAGCTGGCGTAGTATTGTATGATCTGCAAAAAAACAGCGCGGAACGTTGAGCACAAGCTTGCTTGGCTGTTCGTTTGATGGGTTGGAGAGGGAGCATCAGGAGCTGATGAAAGCGAGAGGCTGCAAGACTTGCCTTCGATTCAACAGGTCCATGGCTGGTCACCCTACGTGCTGCTGAGCTTGTCGGGACGAGCTTGGGGTTTGCCGCACGGGCCATAGTTCTGCTGAGATGGTGTGGAGCTTTCGGCGGAATGTGTACATCTTATATCGGATGAGTGATTCAGCATGGACTGCAGGTCAAGCTTCTTCTAGATTCTCAGACTGGGCAGTGGGAGGCTGCCAGTTGCAGACCAGAATCGAGTCAGTTTAGGCAAGCCATGTCAGAATCGAGGCAGCTTCAGGCCAACACCTTGCATACAACCCCACCTTTTCAGTCTTTGGGCATTCTTTTCGCAAGGGCTCGATTAGCTCAAGTGTCTGCGGGCACAAGACACGAATCAGAGGCAGCTGGGCTGAAGATCTCCGTGTGTCCAAGATTGCCCGGCAGGCTATGAGCTCCGAACGTGCACGTGAGCTTACAGACATCCTGACTCGTCTCGGCCCGACATTCATCAAGATTGGACAGGCCCTTGCGGGGAAATTTCTCTGCGCTATTTGCGTTTATCACCCAGCCAAGCCTGTATTCTGCGACTAATCGCGGCCCATGCCCGAAATCTTGCATTTGGAGAGGAATGCTAGAGTTCGGAGGAAACTCAGGAACAAGAATTGCGGATGCAGAGAGCTACACGCTAGAAAGGGGTGGGGGTCGTGATTCTTAGGGCCCTGGCAGGCGCTGTCGATTCGCGCGGATTTGCTTTCCGTGGCCTATTTGGAGGCTCTGACGGAGCTGCAGGACAGATGCAATGACAGGCAGAGCGTCAGATGCAAGGGTGGGAGCATGCTCGGGCTGACTTCTAGGACAGAGTTCCACCTTTTCCGACAGCTCAAGCCGATGAGATTATCGAATCTGAGTTAGGACGGTCCGAACCCGAGAGTCTTGGTGTCATGGCGAAGCTGCATCGTACCGTACACAAGAGGCTTGCCACATGGGTTCAGTAAACATGACAAAACGTGCCTCAGCCACTTGCAGCCAGGCAAGGAAAGCCTGAAAGAAAAGTCTGTGTACGGGTTTGCATTCTGGGATGAAGGGCATGCGGAAGGGAGTATACAGTGGTTTGAGATAGTTTTCAGGAGGACGCTCGCAAGTCCTTGAGCTGTACGCTGAGCAAGGCAGTCGTGCATACGCAGATTCCCATGTCATGAAGCAGCCAGCTGGAGCTCTTCAAAGTTTGAGACAAAGACAACCTATGAGACATTCAATAGCAAACGAAAGGCGAAATGGCGGAGTTTGTCCATCCTATAATGCTAGCCTGACTGTGACTAACCACAGGACAGAGGTCGTGTCGTCGATGTTACGCACCACAGGGATAACAGCGACAAGCCCGAGGCCCTGTACACGCGCGGCATATAACAAACCTTTAGAAGCTCACTCACAGGTGAGGAGGCCATGGACCCTGACCCGACGGGGGATCAAAAAACCCTTGGTTAATTGTGCGAAAGGCCTGCAACTGAAGATTCGACGTTCCATGCAAAGCCACGGTGGCCCGTTCCTACACAAAGCACAGCACCCGCACTCGTGGAATCCTAGTCATACCTGCTGAAAAACATTGCTGAAAGGCAAGCCGATTTGAGACCTTACAGCCAGTTTCGTCGGGCAGAGCTCAGTGGGTCTCTTCTGCGTCCTGCTGTACACAACGTTGCAATGTCTGCCCCACGACGAGACCAGGCGGTCGTCTGTGTACGATCGAGTCCTCGATGTTAACATATGCGACGTGGAGTAGGGTGTTCAGGTATGCGAATGGAGGATGCACACCACAGCTGACACAACCGGATCTTTCTGCTCCTTGGCAAACGCACATCCAGCGGGTTCGTGCACATATGGAAGACCAGTTGGCCTTGTGTGACACGTCGAGATGGCAAGAACGCTAAACTTTGGCGAAGACATCTCGGAAAAGCGACGTACAGTATCAGGCTCGAGCAGGTATGGCGGAGTTTGCAATCAAAGACCCAACATGTACTGCAAGATGTGTACATTACATGCGAGATGCCACAGTTCAGCAACGACGTAGGAACTTTCAGAGTGCAAGCTTGCTGCACATTTCCACAATCC